GCTAGTAGCTATATTGTAATTAAGCTAATAGCTATATTGTAATTAAGCTAATAGCTATATTGTTATTAAGCTATTAGCTATATTGTTATTAAGCTAAGCTAGTAGCTATATTGTTTTAAGCTAAGCTAGTAGCTATATTGTAATTAAGCTAAGCTAGTAGCTATATTGTAATTAAGCTAGTAGCTATATTGTTACAAAGCTAATAGCTATATTGTAATTAAGCTAAGCTAATAGCTATATTGTTATTAAGCTAATAGCTATATTGTAATCAAGCTAAGCTAGTAGCTATATTGTTATTAAGCTAAGCTAGTAGCTATATTGTAATTAAGCTAGTAGCTATATTGTTACTAAGCTAATAGCTATATTGTAATTAAGCTAAGCTAATAGCTATATTGTTATTAAGCTAATAGCTATATTGTTTTAAGCTAGTAGCTATATTGTTATTAAGCTAGTAGCTATATTGTAATTAAGCTAAGCTAGTACCTATATTGTTATTAAGCTAAGCTATTAGCTATATTGTTTTAAGCTAGTAGCTATATTGTAATTAAGCTAAGCTAGTAGCTATATTGTAATTAAGCTAGTAGCTATATTGTTACAAAGCTAATAGCTATATTGTTATTAAGCTAATAGCTATATTGTAATCAAGCTAAGCTAGTAGCTATATTGTTATTAAGCTAAGCTAATAGCTATGTTGTTATAAGCTAATAGCTATATTGTTTTAAGCTAGTAGCTATATTGTTATTAAGCTAAGCTAGTAGCTTTATTGTTATTAAGCTAAGCTAATAGCTATATTGTTATAAGCTAGTAGCTATATTGTTATTAAGCTAAGCTAGTAGCTATATTGTAATTAAGCTAATAGCTATATTGTAATTAAGCTAATAGCTATATTGTTATTAAGCTATTAGCTATATTGTTATTAAGCTAAGCTAGTAGCTATATTGTTTTAAGCTAAGCTAGTAGCTATATTGTAATTAAGCTAAGCTAGTAGCTATATTGTAATTAAGCTAAGCTAATAGCTATATTGTTATTAAGCTAATAGCTATATTGTTTTAAGCTAGTAGCTATATTGTTATTAAGCTAGTAGCTATATTGTAATTAAGCTAAGCTAGTAGCTATATTGTTATTAAGCTAAGCTATTAGCTATATTGTTTTAAGCTAGTAGCTATATTGTAATTAAGCTAAGCTAGTAGCTATATTGTTATTAAGCTAAGCTAGTAGCCATATTGTTATTAAGCTAAGCTAATAGCTATATTGTTATAAGCTAGTAGCTATATTGTAATTAAGCTAAGCTAGTAGCTATATTGTTATTAAGCTAAGCTAGTAGCCATATTGTTATTAAGCTAAGCTAATAGCTATATTGTTATAAGCTAGTAGCTATATTGTTTTAAGCTAGTAGCTATATTGTTATTAAGCTAAGCTAGTAGCTTTATTGTTATTAAGCTAAGCTAATAGCTATATTGTTATAAGCTAGTAGCTATATTGTTATTAAGCTAAGCTAGTAGCTATATTGTTATCAAGCTAATAGCTATATTGTAATTAAGCTAATAGCTATATTGTAATTAAGCTAATAGCTATATTGTTATTAAGCTAAGCTAATAGCCATATTGTAATTAAGCTAAACTAGTAGCTATATTGTTATTAAGCTAAGCTAATAGCTATATTGTTATTAAGCTAAGCTAGTAGCTATATTGTTATTAAGCTAAGCTAATAGCTATATTGTTATTAAGCTAAGCTAGTAGCTATATTGTTATTAAGCTAAGCTAGTAGCTATATTATAATTAAGCTAGTAGCTATATTGTTACTAAGCTAATAGCTATATTGTAATTAAGCTAAGCTAATAGCTATATTGTTATTAAGCTAAGCTAATAGCTATATTGTTTTAAGCTAGTAGCTATATTGTAATCAAGCTAAGCTAGTAGCTATATTGTTATTAAGCTAAGCTAATAGCTATATTGTTTTAAGCTAGTAGCTATATTGTTATTAAGCTAGTAGCTATATTGTAATTAAGCTAAGCTAGTAGCTATATTGTTATTAAGCTAAGCTAATAGCTATATTGTTTTAAGCTAGTAGCTATATTGTTATTAAGCTAGTAGCTATATTGTAATTAAGCTAAGCTAGTAGCTATATTGTTATTAAGCTAAGCTAATAGCTATATTGTTATTAAGCTAAGCTAGTAGCTATATTGTTATTAAGCTAAGCTAGTAGCTATATTGATATTAAGCTAGTAGCTATATTGTTATTAAGCTAGTAGCATTAGCTCTGTGGCTCATAGCATAGCATTAGCTCTCTGTAACGTTAGCTCGTAGCATAGCATTAGCTCTCTGTAACGTTAGCTCGTAGCATAGCATTAGCTCTCTGTAACGTTAGCTTGTAATCAGTCAATAAAGTTATTACAAACTGCTGCTGCTGTCTGTACAGCTGATGTTGGGGTTTGTTGTTCTCTCAGTCTGTCAGGTGGAGGTGGAGGAGGGGGCGGAGTCTGTCCAACTGCCCTTCAAGACCACAGCTGACCTGCCTGAGGACGCTAAAGTGGAGTGGATCCGCATTGAACCTTACATGACAGTCCATGTGTATAAGAACGGTTCTGATCAGCCTGTAGAACAGAACCAGGATTACAGAGACCGAACTGAGATGAAGGAAGACCTGCTGAAAGCTGGAGACCTCAGTCTGACCCTGAAATCCCCCAAAGAGAGAGACACAGGAAGATACTACTGCAACGTCTACAACAAGGAGGGAAACTTACTGAGAGGGGGAAAAGTGCAGCTCAAAGTCAGAGGTCAGTACTGTAGATACAGGTCAGAGGTCAGTACTGTAGATACAGGTCAGAGGTCAGATGTCTCTGTGTCTGTCTGTGTCTTACTGTCCTCTGTCTCCTCTGCAGGGAGAACCAGGAACAGAAGCAGCTCCATTGATCCAACTCCTCTGATGGCTGATCAATCTGTTTGATTGGTCTGTTGATCAATCTTTGATTATTGATCTTGTTGAAGGGGCTCAAAGGAAGAGAATGTCAACGTTCAGCTTTCAGTGTTTCCTCTCTTCATCGTCTGAATGAACCTGCAGTCCATACTGTGATTGATTGATTGACTGATTGATTGATTGATTGATTGATTGATTGATTGATTGATTGATTGATTGATTGGTCTCATGTAGCTCTATAATGTTTCTCTGATGTTTGTGTATTCAGCTTCTATACATATATATCTGGCTGTGTCTCAGGAGGTAGAGCGGGTCGTCCACTGATCAGAAGGTTGCTGGTTCGATCCCCGGCTCCTCCCGCTGCATGTCGAAGTGTCCTTGAGCAAAATACTGAACCCCAAACTGCTCCTGATGCTGAATCACTGTATGAATGAGTGAATGAGTGAATGAGTGAATGAGTGAATGAGTGAATGTGGCTGTAGTGTAAATGGCTTTGAGTGGTCAGAACACTAGACAGACACTAAGTTCAGTCACTTTCTGTGATTGAATGAAGTTATTGTTTGAGTGTCAGTCAGCTGAACTGTTCTCATGTGTTTGAATCCATAAAGTGTTGTGAGCAGATGAGTTATGGATTCGATCATTTCACACTCTGTTTAGAGAATGATGAATATTGAGGAGAACAACTGTAAATAAAGCTCAAATGTACAGAAATCATTTCTCCACTCTGACAGCATCATGAAAATGGATCTAAAGCTGTGAGAATGATGGATTCAGGAGGCATCAAAACTTTGATTACAGCGCCCCCATGTGGCAGAGCGGGAGCAGATTTCTCTTATTGTATCTACGTGTGATGATGGAGGCCATGTGTCTCAGATTGATGATTTCCTTTAATAACATAATGAGTGTAAACTGTGTCTGTAGTGACAGCGTCCATAAAGCGTTATCAGCAGTGAAATATCTGCAGCTTCCACAATCTAATATTGATTCTCACTAATTACAGTTGCTCAATCACATCAACTGTTAGTTGCCGCCTGTACGGCCTGTTGCTCTGCTCCATGGGGACGGCACACTCGTCACACTCCAGGAACTGTCTGAGTTGATTCTGGCGCCCCCTGTGGACAACAGCGGTAGTGTTTCTACTGCCTGGTTTCATTGATTTCAAGGGGAATCCGACCCGGTGGCAGACATTAACAATAACTATATAGAAATATCCAATCTCCTCTCTGATTGTTTATGTACAATAACTCACTGTAGGACATTTAAAGTAGTAACTCTATGATTCAACAGGTGAAGGTCCCATTGCGTCAAGCCCCGCCCTCTTTTAAGTGAAAGCACTGCCTCTAATTTGACTGGTGGTAAATGTAAATTCTGAGCTCGTAAAATAACATTACTGTATTGTTTGTATCTATTAGGAGCATAAATCCTATATCCAGCAAACAATGCTGTTGTGTTGTTGTTCTATATAAAATACACAAATAGTTATTGATGAGTGTCCTGACATATACAGCGACCTTATTCAATCTCATATTTCTGCTGTCTGTCACTGTTTCTGTGCTTCACACTCTTTATTAACTGTTTGTGTCCAATGAGACGTTACTGTAAACTAATTCCAGGGTTTGTGTTTATTAATCTACCTTTTACTACGAGACCACAGAAGAAGAAAACAGGAGGGTTTATCTCCACTTCCTGTTACTGTCTGCTGTTTCCAAGGTTCATTATTAGAAGGTTGGTCAGCTCAGTTTATGGGAATTGTTAAGGTTCAAATCCCCTCTGCTCCACTGTCACACCAAACTCCATTCAAAAAACGGCTGTTTTAAGGAAGTAAAACCTATATTTCCACCATCAGTGAGACTCTGATTCTCTTCAGTCTACAGACACAATCTGCTCCACATTGACTCAGTAACATCATTAACTAACCTGTGAGGAAGGAGTTGGACACAGACACACTCACTGACTGTCTGTCATTAACTAACCTGTGAGGAAGAGTTGGACACAGACACACTCACTCACTGTCTGTCATTAACTAACCTGTGAGGGGAGAGTTGGACACAGACACACTCACTGACTGTCTGTCATTAACTAACCTGTGAGGAAGAGTTGGACACAGACACACTCACTGACTGTCTGTCATTAACTAACCTGTGAGGAAGAGTTGGACACAGACACACTCACTGACTGTCTGTCATTAACTAACCTGTGAGGAAGAGTTGGACACAGACACACTCACTGACTGTCTGTCATTAACTAACCTGTGAGGAAGAGTTGGACACAGACACACTCACTGACTGTCTGTCATTAACTAACCTGTGAGGAAGAGTTGGACACAGACACACTCACTGACTGTCTGTCATTAACTAACCTGTGAGGAAGAGTTGGACACACACACACTCACTGACTGTCTGTCATTAACTAACCTGTGAGGAAGAGTTGGACACACACACACTCACTGACTGGTTTTAATGTGTCACTCTTTATAACACACTGTAAAACTATTTACATGACTAATGTAAAATAAAAACTGTAACTGGAAATAATAATAGATTAAATGACTAATTAATAATATAAAATGATGTAAAATTAGTGACATTAACAATAGAAATGTTTTATAATTAGTCAGTGTAATCAGTGAGGCCCCGCCCCCAGAAACAGTCTGTTTTCAACCTAATTCTTGTCTCATCTGTGGTCTGATAAACAGTAAATGAAGTCATTGAAGTGTCCATATCACTATTGTCCTGGGTTCATCTACAGTAGGTTAAACAATGATAGATACAGCTACTGAGGCACACACACACACACATCTCTCCTCACACTGCAGATCTGCCACAGCAGAAGCTAAAGTCAGGTGGAGAAAGAGCCAACTGAGTCCTGCCTGAGTTGGAACTGATGAACTGTCTGTATTTGCAGCTCTTGGAGCAAATACTGAGACTGCTTCATTATATGTATGTACACATTGACATATCTCAATACATTGTGACATCATGAAGAAGATAGTTTGATATCATTATTGTACAAATGAAAAGTGTTTCTGTTACTGACATTAAAATGTTTTTGAAATGAATAAAGGTGAATATTAAAAGATTGTTTTGCTGAACGCTTCAGTTATTTAATGATTGATAAAGTAGTTCTGTCAGTCTGTCTGTCTGAGGCTGCTTCATGCTGACACAAACCAACAGCTATAACAAATATGAGGAAACTGAACCTCCTCCTGTTTCCTCAGAAGTGATCTGTGGCAGTCGGACTTCATTCCAGAGAGCTGCTTTATCAAACTCTGAACCTGATCCTTCTCTGCCTCCTTTCAGTCCAGTGACTGCTGTCTGTGTCCGGTGGGAAGCCCTTTACTTATTTCAGCTTTTAAAGGTCCAGTGCGTAGGTCGATAAAAACGTCTCATTCTAAGGTAACGAACACACAACCATTCTTATTTTCAGCTGATTAAACACTAATGAAAACAAACCTATGGATATTATATTTCTGACAATAGATCCTCCTCAGTGTTACACATCAATAAAGTGTTTCTGATTCTGATTTACATCCCATAACTTACTGATTTTACTCCAAAAATTACATAACCAAGTGCTCTTGTTGCCTCAACCAAATAGTGTGTTTGCTTTATTGTAAGCCACAGTTTTATGTTATAAATGAACAGTGAGGGTCCCCAGCTTTTACACAATACTGGAGGCTAACTTGCATATTTTTGCATAATTAGCTCAATGAACCAGAAGTTGATCTGTTTATTCTAAAATGCAGGTCTAATGTATTAAGCACATAACCTCAAAAATGGACTCAAAAATAATGAAACTCAGAGTTGAAATATAACCACTTCCAGTTTAAAGGGCCAAGCAGCTGCTCGAATATTGTCCATATAGGTGATTATGCTAATGAATTACAATCTGTGACAATAACTTACAATGTGTAACTGAGTCCACTGGGACCAGTTTGCCTTAATCCAATATATATTTTAATCTTTTTGTATTACAGTTCTGCACAAAGGTGCTTTATAAATAAAGTTCTGATTGAATTCAGTCTGCTCTCAATAAAAAGTCTTCTTAGAAATCAATGAACCACTTTGTGTTTTGTCTTCAGACCAGTCAGAGATCCTAGTGAAGCCTGGAGATGATGCTCCTCTTCAGTGTCGGGTTCTGTTGGACTGGATCATCTCTTAATTTATGCCTTAATTATTTATATTTGTGTCCTGCACTGAGCCAAAATACTGTAAAATCACAGGAAATATCTAACAAGAATCTTATTCTAAGAACAAGTTTCCATAAATGTTACAATTTAAACACATTTAATTGGTTAAACATCTAAAAATTATATTTGAGGATTGCTTTATTCTTAATGACTCTTCAGTTGCAAACAATGAGAAATACAGAATATGTATTATATATAATATATATGTGATAAATGAGTCTGTAGTTACTGCACTACCTATATATCTGTTTATATCTGTTTATATCTGTTTATATTGGTTTATATCTGTTTATATCTGTTTATATTTGTTTATATTGGATTATATCTGTTTATATCTGTTTATATTTGTTTATATTGGTTTATGCTAATACAAAGACAGTTACATTCTTTTTTTTATTTTTTAAATTTTTTTTATTTAAAAATATATAAAATACTACACATTATTCATTCAATTAAAATTATTTCTTTAATTATTTATATTCATTTTTATTAGACATTAATATTATATCAATATTAAATTAAAGTTAAACAAGGTTGAATGTCCCACACATAAAAAGACTATTTTTAATAATAAAAATAAATACAGATTAATCATTTTATTCTTTATATATTGGTGTCAATCAACAATAAAAATAAATGTGTTTTTATTTCTCTAATTTCTGCCAGAGACACGAAAACGTTTGGTCACTTTTATTTTGAAAATCCGTAAAGAAGGCGGTGTCAGACACACGTGTACTTCCTGTAGCTAGCACACTGACTCTGTCCGTTACCTATAATCAATACAGTGTATTGATACCGCAGGAGGGAACCAGTAGAACCAATGTGTGTCGGTTTGATCCCCGGCTCCTCCCGCTGCATGTCGAAGTGTCCTTGAGCAAAATACTGAACCCCAAACTGTTCCTGATGCTGAATCACTGTATGAATGAGTGAATGTGTGAATGAATGAGTGAATGAGTGAATGTGGCTGTAGTGTAAATGGCTTTGAGTGGTCAGAACACTAGACAGACACTAAGTTCAGTCACTTTCTCTGATTGAATGAAGTTATTGTTTGAGTGTCAGTCAGCTGAACTGTTCTCATGTGTTTGAATCCATAAAGTGTTGTGAGCAGATGAGTTATGGATTCGATCATTTCACACTCTGTTTAGAGAATGATGAATATTGAGGAGAACAACTGTAAATAAAGCTCAAATGTACAGAAATCATTTCTCCACTCTGACAGCATCATGAAAATGGATCTAAAGCTGTGAGAATGATGGATTCAGGAGGCATCAAAACTTTGATTACAGCGCCCCCATGTGGCAGAGCGGGAGCAGATTTCTCTTATTGTATCTACGTGTGATGATGGAGGCCATGTGCTTCACACTCTTTATTAACTGTTTGTGTCCAATGTGACGTTACTGTAAACTAATTCCAGGGTTTGTGTTTATTAATCTACCTTTTACTACGAGACCACAGAAGAAGAAAACAGGAGGGTTTATCTCCACTTCCTGTTACTGTCTGCTGTTTCCAAGGTTCATTATTAGAAGGTAGGTCAGCTCAGTTTATGGGAATTATTAAGGTTCAAATCCCCTCTGCTCCACACTGTCACACCAAACTCCATTCAAAAAACGGCTGTTTTAAGGAAGTAAAACCTTTATTTCCACCATCAGTGAGACTCTGATTCTCTTCAGTCTACAGACACAATCTGCTCACATTGACTCAGTAACATCATTAACTAACCTGTGAGGAAGAGTTGGACACAGACACACTCACTGACTGTCTGTCATTAACTAACCTGTGAGGAAGAGTTGGACACACACACACACACTCACTGACTGTCTGTCATTAACTAACCTGTGAGGAAGAGTTGGACACAGACACACTCACTGACTGTCTGTCATTAACTAACCTGTGAGGAAGAGTTGGACACAGACACACTCACTGACTGTCTGTCATTAACTAACCTGTGAGGAAGAGTTGGACACACACACACACACTCACTGACTGTCTGTCATTAACTAACCTGTGAGGAAGAGTTGGACACAGACACACTCACTGACTGTCTGTCATTAACTAACCTGTGAGGAAGAGT